CAGGAGTTCGAGACCCGTCTCTACCAAAGATAGAAAAATCAGCCAGGCATGGCGGTCCGCGGTCCCAGCTACGCGGGAGGCTGGGGCAGGAGGACGCTTACGCCCGGCAGCTTGAGGCTTCAGTGAGCTGTGATGACGCCACTGCACTCGGGCTGGGCGACAGAGCGAGACTGTCGTGGGGGGGAAGGCGCGCTCACATCTCCTTGTAAAGAGCAAGTGTGCTAAGCGTGTGCGGCACGTGGAGGTCGCGGCGCCCTGGCTTCCAGGAAGGCTGCACCACGCAGGACCCCTGGCATCGCCAGCCACCGCACTGGCACAGGGAGGGCAAAGGGGACACACCAGCCCAGGGCGGGATGCCGTGGGAGGGAGCAAAGGGAGCCCCACAGGCTGCTGCAAGAACTGACCCTTTATTTGACTGGCGCCCCTGTTCCGGCCACGTGCAGGAGCCAGCCCAGGAGAAGGCTTGAAACCAAACTCAAAGACAGGAGCTGAGGGAGAGACCCCACCAGGGCGCCATCGCTGTCCCTGGGGCACAGGCCACGCCACAGCCCTCCTCTGCCACTGTTGGTTCACACAGCTGAGAAACCTTCCTCTTGGCCTGAGCTGGCTCAAGTTGGTTTGAGCCAAGCAGGTCCTCACCACACGTCACCACGCCACGGAGCTTGTGTACGGGCTGGCAGTGATCCGGGGCTGGCTCTCCTTCCAGAGACTGTGGGGACCCCGCACCCCACTCACCTCACCCCACTCACCAGACCCTTTCGCCGGGCCTTTGGGAGCAGCCATCTCTGAGGTCCTCAACCTATGGAGCCCCCTTTCCTGTGGGGGTCTTTTCCAGACCACCGTCCCCCCTCCAAGGTTCCTGCCATTGTGTCAAGCACCCACCCACTGCGCAGTCAGAGATGGCTGCTCCTGGGCCCAGCTTCCTCCCCTTCTCCCGGACCTGTGGTGTCCCAGACCCTTCTCTCACCCCAGCAGGTTCAGGCCCCCTCCAGGGAGCAACTCCTCAGCCCCATGGCCCCCAGCCATCACACTTCCCATAGCCTGTCATTTTGCCAATGTGTTAAGCCTCCTGCCTGACTTTTTTTTTTCACTGTTCCCATCCGGTGAAAACCCAGTTACGTACAGTCTTGACCATCCCTCTCTTCTGGGCCTGCACCCACCATACAGGTTAGAGTGGCCACAGGGAGACCATGGCCCCAGCCCGGGGTGGACGGCCACTCCTCCCTCACCCCCAGACTGCGCAGCCTGCCGATGTCTGGTCAGCTGTCTTCTGGTCTGCACACCCCTCCATCCTCCAGCCCCACCTCCAGAGTCTCAAGGGACAATTGACTGCCCCTCAGTCACAAAGAAAACAGAAGCCAGGGGGCCTCAAGTTGCACCACCAAACCCCAGTCCTGCGCCCCATGCCCACAGCTACTTCCACTCCCCATGGGCTCTGACCGCTGCCCTCCTCCCCTTCTCGCCAGTCACTGTCAATGTGCCCAACCTACTCAGCCTTTCCCTGTCCACAGGATCCTTGGCATCAGGATCAAACTTAACCTCTCTCACCCTGAAACACTCAAACAAAACCTCCCTGGAACAGGCGTGGTGGCTCACGCCTGTAATCCCAGCACTCTGGGAGGCCGAGGCAGGTGGATCGCTCAAGGTCAGGAGTTCCAAACCAGCCTGAGCAAGAGCGAGACCCCGTCTCTACTATAAATAGAAAGAAATTAATTGGCCAACTAATATATATAGAAAAAATTAGCCGGGCATGGTGGCGCATGCCTGTAGTCCCAGCTACTCGGGAGGCTGAGGCAGGAGGATCACTTGAGCCCATGAGTTTGAGGTTGCTGTGAGCTAGGCTGACGCCACACCACTCACTCTAGCCTGGGCAACAGAGCAAGGCTCTGTCTCAAAAAACAAAAACAAAACAAAACAGAAAACCTCCCTGGATGCTGTTTGCCCAACTGTTTGCCTCCCTAGCAATTTTTGCCCCACACAGACTTCTCTGAAGCATTCCCTGCTGCCAGCACCACCCAGCCCTCCTGGGGCCCAGTCCCGGGCCACACAGGACTCAGGTCTACAGTCTGCCTGTGTCCACGGAGGGTGGTGCTGGAAGGACAGCCCTGTTGCTCCCCAGAAGCACCTTCTCCAATGAAAGACAAAAAGAAAGAGGCCCTTGGATCTGCCCATGAAGGGCACATGGACAGTCACATGCCAAGAGTGCAGGGGCTTTGGGACCACAGCAGGGGCCTCTGATCCGGTTGGGAGGGGCAGGGGCAGCACAGAGCGAAGCCTGAAGGCAGAGGACACCACTCCCCTCCGGCTTCCAGGGATACAGGACCATGGGCTCGGGGCTGCAGATGGGGAGGTCAGTGATTGTTCTATCGCCCCAGAGTCCGAAAGAAAGAACCAGTGGCCTTGAGGACTATGACCCTCACTGAGGCTGACCTCCACCTGTCTCATATTTTAAAAACCTTGTGAAAATAAGGAGTTTTAATCTGGTTTTTTCTGTATTGGCGGGGTGAATAATAAGATTGCGTTTGTGTCTCAGAAGGATGGTACTAGCTGCGCGGTGGAAGACAGCCTGAGGGCAGAGCAAGGAGGCCTCAGGAGGAAAGGCAGCTGCAAATCGGCCGCCTCTGGGGTCCTTTGCACGTCCCCTCCCCCACCTGACCCTCCAGAGCTGGCAGACAGGATTCTGTCCTCAGCCTCTGGAATTCTGTGCTCACCAAACCTCCTGGAGCCTCACCATCTCTGAAACCCCCCAAACTTCTAGACCTGCCCTCTCTTCAGCCTCAGGCTCTCAAGGCTGGAGTTGACCAGATGCCTGTACCTGGGCAACCCACCCATGGGCACGCCCGCCCTCTCCAGCAGCTCCCTGCAGCGGAGAGCCGAAGCTTCCTCGGGGCTGTGCACAGAGCCTGGAGCCCCCTCACAATGGGCCCAGACGAATTTCTCAGACCCGCCCATCTCCTGGCACCTGCCTCTCAGCCCCATGTTCACCTGCCTTCCTGGCTGCCACCCCAGCTTCCTAAAACAAATGGGACCACTTCCTGCCCCCAACTGGTAAAAATATTAATAAATAAAGCAGTGAGTTCTCCTCCTTCCTGGGGATGCAAACCATGCTCTTTAGTACAGCACATGCGTATGCAACGCACAGCACTCCTGGATTCCTTCATCCAGCAAATGTTTTTTGAACTCCCATGGCGTGCTCAGCAGGAGGGACAGAGTGCCCAGGCAGGGGAGGAAACACAAAGGGACACAGGGGTGGCCAGACAAGAGAAGCAAGGTCCACTGGGGCATGAGATCCTCGCCCCTCTCAGAAGACAGAGGCTGAGAACCAGTGACAGACACAAGTCGGTTACTGCTGGGCAGGGGACTGGTTCGGGCTTTGTGGAGAACAACCCGGCACTCCGTGTTGAACACACGCTCACCTCCAACCAGAATTCCCACTTCTGAGAAGGTGTCCTATGAGATGCATGTGTGAGCTCACAGCAGCAGCGTTCTTGCCGGGAAAAAACCTGGAAATCACCTGGTTGTGCTTTGATAAAGGATGGGTTAAGTAAATCACACAACACCCACATATTGGAGCAGGACCAGCCATAAGAAAGAAAGAGAGGCCGGGCGCTGTGGCTCACGCCTGTAATCCTAGCTCTTGGGAGGCCGAGGCGGGCGGATTGCTCAAGGTCAGGAGTTCAAAACCAGCCTGAGCAAGAGCGAGACCCCGTCTCTACTATAAATAGAAAGAAATTAATTGGCCAACTGATATATATATATAAAAATTAGCCGGGCATGGTGGCGCATGCCTGTAGTCCCAGCTACTCGGGAGGCTGAGGCAGAAGGATCACTCAAGCCCAGGAGATTGAGGTTGCTGTGAGCTAGGCTGACGCCACGGCACTCACTCTAGCCTGGACAACAAAGTGAGACTCTGTCTCAAAAAAAAAAAAAAAAAGAAAGAAAGAGAGTCTCTGTTTACACACACTCTTACATACCGTGTTTCCCCGAAAATAAGACAGGGTCTTATATTTATTTTTCCTCAAGAAGCCACCCTAGGGCTTATTTTCAGGGGATGTGTTATTTTTTTGTTTTTTAAGTACGGCACAACAATCCACATTTATTCAAATAGAGTGAAGTCGTCTTCTTCTGGAACATCATCAAAACTCTCCAAACCCCGAATTCCATCCTGAATTTCTTGCGACTCTATTTCCTTTAGAACCATTGCCCCCAATCTCTCATGTTGAGCCACAGAGCTCCCTTGGGGCAGATGAGAAGGGCTGCTCCTCTTCTTGACCGCTCTGTGAGAAAATGCACAGATTGTGCAGATGCACTGTGTAGACACGCCCGTCGCTAGGTCTTATTTTCGAGGTAGAGCTTATATTGCGCAAATGCTTAGAAATCCTGCTAGGGCTTATTTTATGGGTAGGTCTTATTTTCAGGGAAACATGTAGGCACGCACGTGTGTGTGACACTCACACGATGCACCAGCGTCCAGAAGAGGTGGGTCAGGACCTGGGAGAGGGACCCAGCGTGGGTGGCAGTGTGGGGGAGGGGGTGTCTTACAAAAACCAAGTCATTCTTTGGTACAGGGGGAAAGGACTTTATTTAGAAATAAGGCCGCTTGAGAATCTTGCAGGGGTCGGGAACTGTCTCTGAAGGGAACTGAACGCCTGGGGATTCTCCCCTCCTCCGGGTCCGCCCTCCGGGTGGGCGCCGCCTGGTGCAGAGGCGGCCCCTGACTTGGGGCTCAGCCCTCAGAGCGGGAAGTCCAGCTCCCCTACTCTGGGCCTGGGTTCTCACCAGAAGGTGCCAAAAATGAGGCCGGTCATCCCTGGGGGTCCCAGCAGGCACCGGCCCCCGCCGCGCCCCTGGGAGTGGCCCCATCTCGCTGCCCCTCCGTGCGCCCCCCCTCCCGGTGCGCCCAGGGGCTTGGTAGGAGGTCGGCGCGGGGTGGGGGAGCAGGGGCCTGGGGGAGGGGGCAGGGCTGCGGGGGGGGGCAGGGGGAGGGGCGCCCCGCCCCGTGCGTGTGTCCTGCTCCGCCTCTGCGGGAAGGGCGCTAGGAGCTCTCCAAGTGGCCGAGGCGACTTCCCGCTAGGACCCCAGACGGCCCTCCGCGGCCGACGGACGCAGGTGCCCAGCCCGGCCCCCGACGCGGGGCTCCCAAGGTGCGGCCGGCGGCTCCAGGCTGAGGCCGCCCCACCTGCGTGGCACCCGCCCGCTCCCCCGCTCGCCATGGCCCCGGTCCTGACGGTCGCCGTCGGTTGCATCAGCCTCCTCTGCCTGCAGCTCCCAGGCGCGCTGTCCCGCGGCCTGGGCGGGGGCCCGCGGCCCGTCAGACCTCGGTGAGTGCGGGGCGGACCAGCCGGGGCCGGCCCTAGCGGGGACCCAGAATGCCCGGGACAGCCTGTCTGCCTCCCTTCACCCCGCACCCCCCACTGGGGAACCCCCACACCTGCTGCTTGGGCTCACCTCTCCAATCAGGGCCCAACCCCCACACCTTCAGCGACGCAAGTCAAGCCGCCTCTCTTCCCACGCACCTGTCAGCAGAGCAGCCCCCTGGTCCCCAGGGGTCTGCTGGGGGAGGCGGGGCTGGAGGGATCCCTGGCTCACCGCTGACCCCCCTAAGGAACGGGTCCAGCGGCACTCACCCTGAGTCCTGGGAGCGGCCACCCACCGAGGCCAGGGTGCCCTTTGCCCAGGGAGGTGCTGATACCAGGACATGTGACCCATGCTGCTGGGATGGCCTAGTGGCCGGGACCCAGGCCCTGAGCTCAGAAGGGACCTGGGCTTCCCCTGGCAGAGACCCCAGGCTGTGTGGGGGTGGGGCAGTGGGCTTCCCCTGGCAGAGACCCCAGGCTGTGTGGGGGTGGGGCAGTGGGCTTCCCCTGGCAGAGACCCCAGGCTGTGTGGAGGGGAAACTGGGGGGGCTTGGGGCTCTCTGAAAGTCTGAGCCATTAGGTTGACATCCACATCCCTCTCTGCAGGGAGCACCCAGCCCGGACCTCTTCCAGAGGCCTGCAGCCCTGGCACCCTGCAGCCCGTCCTGCGGTCCGGAAGCTTCATCAGGCCCCCCAGCCACAGAGGAGTGCCCGCCTGGCACCTGCTATGGGTCAGCCCCTCCGGGATGGTGGCGGCCGACACTCAGGTCCCCGAAGACACTCGGGCTCCCACAGGCCCCGAGCCCAGCTCCTGCGGGTGGGCTGTGTGCTGGGGACCTGCCAGGTGCACAATCTCAGCCACCGCCTGTGGCAGCTTGTGGGATCAGCCGGCGGGCGGGACTCAGCGCCTGTGGACCCCAGCAGCCCCCACAGCTATGGCTGAGGGGGGCTGGCCACACCCCTGCCCGCCCCAGCTGGGGTGCTGTGCCCAGCCCCTGGAGCTGCAGCTGAGCCCCGGCCCATCCCTCCGAGCTCCTGCAGACATAAACCTATGCACATGTGTAGACCCAGGCCGGTCTACAAGCAGCGTCTATGCGGCAACGGGGGTCTGCACACCCAGAATTGTGCATACTCAGGGCACAGGTGCCAGGCAGCACCAGATGCTGAAAAGGGCTTCAGAAGGGAGGGGTCTACCCAAGGGTGTGGAGCAGAAGCCAGGGTCCCGAACACACAGGGCCACCTCTGGGCAAGGGGGTGGGAGAGGCTGAAGTATCTGGATGTGCCCTGCTATGCAGTGCGGTCAGCTTGAAGCCCTGCCTTGGCCCTGGGCTGCTGCACAGTTTACCCTTCCATGTGCCTGACCCCAGGTCCACAGCCTCTCCCTCCCCGTGCCCTTGAGACGGGAGGGGTGGCAGGGAGGAGGACAGATGCTGGGGTTCCCTGGGGTCATGAGGGGCCTCTGCGCTGTGATGGAGACCCTGCCTCCTTCCCTGTGGGTGGCCAGGGTGGGGCTCAGCACTTCAGGGCCCCCCCTGGGCTGCTCTGGGGCTGAGTGGACACCCCTGTACCCTAGGACAGGGTGGGGCTGGGGTGGGGGCAAGAGCCCCCCAGCCCAAATAGGTCACTTAAGTAAGACCCACCCCAAGTCCAAGGGGCTGGGGCCAGCCCAATGAGGATGGGGTCCACCGGCAATACGGGCTCCCACCCCCGCAGTGCAGGGACCCAGCGGGACCAGCCCCACAGGACAGTGAGCAAAAGAGCCCCGAGCCTGCCCCTGAGGCTCCCCAGGCCCCCGAACTAAGAGAGATCTAGAAGTGCCCATCCTGACTCCATTCCAGCTCTGGGACCACCGGGCCCAGGTAACTCACCTTCCCTCCTGCCCTGCCCTGCCCTGCCCTGCGGGAGGCCTGGGAACCGCAGCAGAGGGTGGTCAGCGTGGTGCGAGCACAGCCGGGCAGTCCAGGCAGGCTGCTTGGCCTCAGTCTGGGTGAGGTCTGGGGACAGCAGGGGTTCCCCAGGAAGTTGCTGCAGAGCCCACAAAGCTGGGCTAGTCTGGCCCAGAGCCTCAGAGTCCTGTGCCCGGTGGCCACTGAAGGGTGTCAGCAGAGGCAGGCAGGGCGTGCACTGCCAGGGCCAGCGAGGAGGGGGGGTGACGGGAGGGTCAGGGGCTCAGTGTTCCCTATTCAGCTCAGCCAGGACCCTCCCCAATGTTCCCCAGCCTCCCTGGGACCTGGGTAAAGTCCACTGCCCCCTCCACTGGCCTGTGCCTCAGTACAAGCTGTTCCCTCTGCCAGGAAGCCCCCCCCCGTGACACCTTGCATCCTCCTGGCCCCTGGGCATTGAAGCAGAGGCCCTTGAGACAGGCTGCCAGGCCCTCAGGATCCCACCCGCCCTGGGCTTCTCCATGAAGCTGGACACACTGTTGCCCTCTTGGCATCCTGTGTAGTGTCAGGAGGGTGCTCGTCACAGCCCACAGCATTGCACCTGGTGTGAACCCCCCCTCCCCCGTGTGCTGGGGGGGGTCACTCGGCCCACACTTGGGCCCAGCGCCAGCACCTGCACCCCCACCTTCCCCAGCAACACCTTCCAGCTTCCCTGGCCAAATTCCTCCCCTCCTTTCACCCCCTCCTTGGAGGAAAATATGCAGACACTTCCTGACCCAGGCACCAGCTGCCCTGGGATGACAGCCTGGTCCCCATTGCCTGGCTGCCGCGTGCTGAGCATGTGTGACCATGTATGACACGTGCTCACTGGGACGCACTTGAGGATACGGCCCCACCCCCCAGGGCTGATGTTCTAGTGCAGGCGTCCTCAAACTCCGGTCCATGGGCCACATTTATACGGCCCGCCGGGTGCTTTTGCCGCCGCTGCCTGTCCTGCCTAGCAGCGGACTCGTCCTGGGCCCACAGTGCGCGTGTGTGGAATGTGCCCCCGCACTCTCCAACGTCTAAGGGACAGTGGATTGGCCCCCTGCTTAAAAAGTTTGAGGACCCCTGTAGTGGGAAGGGATGAGGAAGTGAGGAGCCTTGAGGAGGCAGGTGGGGATTAGTGGGCAGGGCGGGCTCCAGTTTGCTGTTTTATTTTATTTTATTTTTTCTTTCTTTTTTTTTTTTTTTGAGACAGAGTCTCACTTTGTTGCCCAGGCGAGAGTGAGTGCCGTGGTGTCAGCCTAGCTCACAGCAACCTCAAACTCCTGGGCTCAAGCAATCCTGCTGCCTCAGCCTCCCAAGTAGCTGGGACTATAGGCATGCGCCACCATGCCCGGCTAATTTTTTTCTATATATATTAGTTGGCCAATTAATTTCTTTCTATTCATAGTAGAGACGGGGTCTCGCTCTTGCTCAGGCTGGTTTTGAACTCCTGACCTTGAGCAATCCGCCTGCCTTGGCCTCCCAGAGTGCTAGGATTACAGGCGTGAGCCACCGCACCCGGCCTTATTTCATTTTTTCGAGGCAGGGTCTCTGTTGCCCAGGTTGGAGTGCAGTGGCGCAAACACAGCTCACTTTACCCTCAAACTCCAGAGCTCCAGCGATCCTCCCACCTCAGCCTCCCAACTAGCAGGGACCAGAGGCACCCACCACCATGCCTGGCTAGTTGTTTTGTGGGGGTCTCACTATGCTGCCCAGGCTGGTCTCATACTCCTTGGCTCAAAACGATCCTCCTGCCTCGGCCTCCCAAGGTGCTGGGATCACAGGTGTGCACCACTGTGCCCAGCCCCAGTTTGCCATTTTCAGTGGGGCTCCAAGGTCCCCCCCTCTGTTTGTTCCAGGCTTACTGCAGGAGGGGCCTGTTGGGTAGAGTCAACTCTCCACATGCTTCCCACCTCACGCGTGAAGCCCGGTGCTCGGATCTGCACACCCCCGCGCCCTCACCTGCACTCTTCCCAGAGTCTGTCCTCACCCAGCTCCAAGGAGGTCAGCTCCCCAAGCAGGCGTTTTTTTTGCTGTGTGGTCCCTGCCGTGTCCTCAGGGCCGGGGCCAGGCTCATCCCTGCCAAGTGGAGTTTGAGTTCGTCTCTACAAAGATGCCCCACCTTGGCCACGTCCTTGCAGGGCCAGCCCAGGCCAGTGTCAGAAAGAATCCTGCAGAGTCGGTTTATTGAGAATCCCCCCACCCTTCCTATCCAATCAAATTCCTCATCTCCCACCCTTGATCTGATTAGATCAAATTCCCCATCTCCCACTGTTGATGGGATCGCCCTGCAAGAATCCTGCTAAGTGGCTTTGGGAAGAGCCCCCACCCTGATGCCGCCTCTCCGTCCGTCTGCCATCCCCGTCTGCCATCCGCTGACCCCGCTACTCCACAACGGCTGTGAGGTCCAGGCTGTCTCTGCTGCACAGAGTTGAGCTCAGGCTCTCTCCCCTGCTGGGACAATCTTGAATAAACATTTTCTTCCCGTTTAAACAAGTTATCCGAATAATTTTTTCTCAACAAGCTTCTGCGCCTCCCAGAGTGCTAGGTTCCCTGGAGGGCAAGGTTTCACTCCCTGAAACCAGGGTGGGCATGTGCGTGAGGGTGGGGTCTGCAACACCCAGCGGGAGGGGCTGGCCGGGCGGGAGGCTGGGCTGCAGTCAGGGCCTCAAACACCCCGAGCAGGTCAGTTGCTCCAGACGGCAGGCTGAGATCAAGGTGAGAGGGGCTGGGGCCACTGGCGGCCGCTCCTGTGCTAACACATTAACTCGTTGAGCTCAGGAGGGTGGGTGGATGGTCACTCATTACCGAAAGCCGGGGCCAAGGGGCTGGGTGGTGTCTGGTCACTTATATAACCTGTGGGCATATATATAGGGTACCTGGCCCCGGACTCACCTGCCTGCACGCTCTCAGGATGAAGGAGGTCGCGGTACGTACCCAGGCCCCGAGCGGAAGTGGTCCCCACCGCCCACTCACCTGGTAGCCGGCTGCTCCCACCCTCTGCGGCTGGTTCCTGCCGGCCTTCCCGGTCAAAGGGCTCCCTCTTTCCCATTGTGGCCCTGCCGGGGCAGGGGTCAGTGGCACCTGACCTCAGGCTTCCTGTGGACTCAGGTCTCCCCTGCAAAGTGGCGTGCGCCCTGCGCGGGTGCCGGCGGTGCCGTGCGCGCGCTCACCGCGCCCCAAGGCCGCTGGTGGGGGCTCCTGAACTCAGTTGCCCTCAGTCGCCAGGGCTGGGCTGGGCTGGGGGTGGGGGAGCTGTGCGTGCTGGCGTCCACCCCCCCCCACAGTGGGTGTCCTGGCGACGTGCAACGCGCTAAATCCTCCGTCCAACCAGGGCCTGGACCCTTCCCTGGTCTACAGACCTGAGGCGGACCCAGGCGCAGGCAAAGATAAGGATGGCTTCCGGAACTATGCGGTGAGGACCTGCCCTGCCCTGTGCTCCCCCACCCCGCCCCAGCCACACCTGCCCCTTCGCACAGCTCCTGGGGGGTAGGGGCCCTTTGGGAAGCCCCCCCAACACACACCTTCTGGGGCCCAGCCTGGGACGGGGGAGGCGGGGGAGCCTGGTGTGAAGGGCGGCGCAGCTGCAGCCTCCGCTGACCTCTCTGGCTTGCAGTCGGGCCCCCTCCTGGACCGCGTCTTCGCCACCTACAAGCTCATGCACACGCACCAGACCGTGGACTTCGTCAGGAGGAAGGTAGGCCGCGGGCGAGCCCCGGCGCTTCCTGCTCCCCTGCGGAAACCTCGCCGGGGAGACGGCGCCTACCCTCAGCCTGGCACCCACGAGTGGCGGGTGGGTGGACGGGGAGGGTCCGACCGCGTGGGTATCCCGCCGACCCTGTGGCCCGGCTGACTTCTCCCCGCCCAGCACGCCCAGTTCGGGGGCTTCTCCTACAAGAAGATGACGGTCATGGAGGCTGTGAGCATGCTGGACGAGCTGGTGGACGAGTCAGACCCGGACGTGGACTTCCCCAACTCCTTCCATGCCTTCCAGACGGCGGAGGGCATCCGGAAGGCCCACCCAGACAAGGGTGCGCCCCACTGCCCGGCCGCGGTGGGGGAGGGGCAGAGGGCAGGGAGGGGGCGGGAGGGGGCAGGGGTGTCTCCTCCTCTCCCAGCAGGCCCCGCCCTGAGTGGGAACAGGCCGCGGCCCCCTTGGCCCCCCACACCCCTAACCCACCTGCCATCTCCCCAACAGACTGGTTCCACCTGGTTGGGCTCCTGCACGACCTGGGCAAGGTCCTGGCTCTGTTCGGGGAGCCCCAGGTGAGGGCAGGGTGGGGAATGGGGAGGCCTGGCTTTGGGCTGGGGGCTGGGGGCACCGCATGGGGGCCAGGCCAGTGCTCACTCCCTGCCCACCCACCCACGGCTGCGGTTCCCCCCCAGTGGGCAGTGGTCGGAGACACCTTCCCGGTAGGATGCCGTCCCCAGGCCTCTGTGGTTTTCTGCGACTCCACCTTCCAGGACAACCCTGACCTCCGAGACCCCCGATACAGGTGCTCCCCTCCCCGGAGCGGGTCCTCCCCGACCCCACGGCTCCTGAGCGCCCCTCACCCTCCTCTCTCTCTCACCACAGCACCGAACTGGGCATGTACCAGCCCCACTGCGGGCTTGACAAAGTTCTCATGTCCTGGGGCCACGACGGTGAGGCCGGTGGGGCAGGGGGCCGGCAGCAGGGGAGGGTCGGCCCCAGCTGCCCGGTGCTGACACCCTCTCTCCCGCAGAGTACATGTACCAGATGATGAAGTTCAACCAGTTCTCCCTGCCCTCGGAGGTAGGTGTGGGGAGGGTGGGCCCGGGGCGCCCAGCTGCCCAGGGCAGCGTGAGTGTGCGAGCCTGGGGATGCTGCTGCTGCCCACAGGCCTTCTACATGATCCGGTTCCACTCCTTCTACCCCTGGCACACCGGTGGCGACTACCGGCAGCTGTGCAGCCAGCAGGACCTGGCCATGCTGCCCTGGGTGCAGGAGTTCAAGTACGGTCATCCCCGGGGCGGGGCGGGGGTGGCCCAAGGGGACAAGGCGGCGAGTCCCTCATGAAGCTCCCTGCCCTTCCCCTGCTGCAGCAAGTTTGACCTCTACACCAAGTGCCCCGACCTGCCTGACGTGGACCAGCTGCGGCCCTACTACCAGGGGCTCATTGACAAGTACTGCCCCGGCGTGCTGAGCTGGTGACCGCCTACCTGGCCCCCCACTGCTGCTGCACCCCCATGCTGGCTGCGTCCCCAGAGTCTGGCCCTGGGAGACAACCACCATCAGACTCAGCACCTAGCCACCTCGGCCTCCCTGGGGGGACACCCCGCTCCCCCACCTGCACTCGCCGCCCCTCATGGCCACTGGTGCCTGACGGCAATAAAGACCTTGAAGGAGTTGTGCTTCTTGACACCTCACTGGGGCCACCGGCCGGCGTGTCGCGGCAGTAGGGGGTGGCCCGGGCTGAAGAGCTCCGACAGGAGGGCGTAGACCAACTCTCGTGACTCTCAGACATGTGTGCCCCACCAGACATGTGTGTGCTGTGGCACCTGCCACAGTGAACATCTCATGCATCCTCCCAGCTCTGTGTCAGAGCCTGGGGCACAAGTCACCCAACCCACCTTCACCTTCTCTCTTTTTTTTTTTTTTTTTTTGAGACAGAGTCTCGCTTTGTTGCCCAGGCTAGAGTGAGTGCGTGGCGTCAGCTAGCTCACAGCAACCTCAAACTCCTGGCTCGAGTGATCCTTCTGCCTCAGCCTCCGGGTAGCTGGGACTACAGGCATGGCACCACCCATGCCCGGCTAATTTTTTATATATATATCAGTTGGCCAATTAATTTCTTTCTATTTATAGTAGAGACGGGGTCTCGCTCTTGCTCAGGCTGGTTTTTGAACTCCTGACCTTGAGCAATCCGCCCGCCTCGGCCTCCCAAGAGCTAGGATTACAGGCGTGAGCCACAGCGCCCGGCCTTCTCTTTTTTTTTTTGAGACAGAGTCTCACTTTGTTGCCCAGGCTAGAGTGAGTGCCGTGGCATCAGCCTAGCTCACAGCAACCTCAAACTCCTGGGCTCAAGCGATCCTCCTGCCTCAGCCTCCCGAGTAGCTGGGACTACAGGCATGTGCCACCATGCCCGGCTAATTTTTCCATATATATATTAGGTAGCCAATTAATTTCTTTGTATTTATAGTAGAGACAGGGTCTCGCTCTTGCTCAGGCTTGTTTTGAACTCCTGACCTCGAGCAATCCGCCTGCCTCGGCCTCTCAGAGTGTTAGGATTACAGGCATGAGCCACTGAGCCTGGCCACCTTCACCTTCTTTAAACAGTCTCCAAGCCTACTGGTCTCCCTAAAGAAAAGAAAGAGGCCGGGCACGGTGGCTCACGCCTGTAATCCCAGCACTCTGGGAGGCCAAGGTGAGTGGATTGTTTGAGCTCAGGAGTTCGAGACCAGCCTGAGCAAGAGCAAGACCCCATCTTTACTAAAAATACAAAGAAATTAATTGGCCAACTAAAAATACATAGAAAAAATTAGCTGGGCATGGTGGTGCATGACTGTAGTCCCAGCTACTCGGGAGGCTGAGGCAGAAGTATCGCTTGAGCCCAGGAGTTTGAGGTTTCTGTGAGCTAGGCTGACACCACCACGGCACTCTAGCCAGGGCAACAAAAGTGAGACTCTGTCTCAAAAAAAGGAAGGAGGGAGGGAGGGAGGGAGGGAGGGAGGGAGGAAGGAAGGAAGGAAGGAAGGAAGGAAGGAAGGAAGGAAGGAAGGAAGGAAAAGAGAAAAGCCCTAGTAGCTAAAGGAATGCATCCATAGAGAGCAACATAAAACAAATGCTCAGGTTAATTGCTGAAAAGCAAACACCCTCAAACGTCCGGTCTGCATGCCTGAGGGCAGCCCCTTCCCTGCAGCCCCACAGCGGCTCTGCAGTCTCAAATCTCTTTTTCTCTGCATGGCTTTGTCACCCAGGTGTGCAGCCCTCCACGCCACACCCTGGCTTTGCAGACATTTCTTCTAATCCAGAGGCTTCCACTCCATCTTCGAGTGATTCATCTCTTTTTTTTTTTTTTTTTTTTTTTTTTGACAGAGTCTCGCTTTGTTGTCCAGTATTGATATATATGTACTTTAAGTTCAGGGTTGAGTGCCGTGGCGTCAGCCTAGCTCACAGCAACCTCAAACTCCTGGGCTCAAGCGATCCTACTGCCTCAGCCTCCCGAGTAGCTGGGACTACAGGCATGCGCCACTATGCCCGGCTAATTTTTTATATATATATTAGTTGGCCAATTAATTTCTTTCTATTTATAGTAGAGACGGGGTCTCGCTCTTGCTCAGGCTGGTTTTGAACTCCTGACCTTGAGCAATCCGCCCGCCTCGGCCTCCCAAGGGCTAGGATTACAGGCATGAGCCACAGCGCCCGGCCGATTCATCTCTTTTGAAGAAAGTGGGTCATTTGTCCAAGGGAACTTCCTTCTGGTGGGATTTTGCCGATTGCATTCCCACGCCCTCTGGTAACACTGTCTGTCCTCTGCGTTCCCTGCTCATGGGTACATGGGTTTAGAGGCTTTGCGGATTTGGGTTTGACTTGTGGGCCAGAGTGCTTTTGGAGTGGTGGCGTTTTCCTGGCCCGGAGGCGCAGGGCGTCTGTCTCCTGTGTCGTGGGAAGGGAGCCGCTGGGGTCAAGCTCATCCACATCCCCAACGCACCAGGGCGTGGGCCCGCAGCATGCTGGTTCTTACTCACCTGCCAGAGCACTCCAGTAGCAGAGGCTGCCTCCCGCGTGCTGTGTGCTTGCCCAGCGGTGCTGTTTGATAGGAAAGACAGCACGTGCTCCAGCCTTTCCCTAGAGTTACCAACATGCAAGAGAGTGGGTTCCCCAGCACCCATCAGAGGCAATGGATTTGTGTCTGTATTAAGAATGTGCAGGCCAGGCCGGGCGCGGTGGCTCACGCCTGTAATCCTAGCTCTCTGGGAGGCTGAGGCGGGCGGATTGCTCGAGGTCAGGAGTTCAAAACCAGCCTGAGCAAGAGCGAGACCCCCGTCTCTACTATAAATAGAAAGAAATTAATTGGCCAACTAATATATATAGAAAAAATTAGCCGGGCATGGTGGCGCATGCCTGTAGTCCCAGCTACTCGGGAGGCTGAGGCAGTAGGATCGCTTGAGCCCAGGAGTTTGAGGTTGCTGTGAGCTAGGCTGACGCCACGGCACTCACTCTGGCCTGGGCAACAAAGCAAAAAAAAAAAAAAAAAAAGAATGTGCAGGCCGGCCGGGCACGGTGGCTCACGCCTGTAACCCTAACACTCTGGGAGGCCGAGGCGGGCGGATTGCTCGAGGTCAGGAGTTCAAAACCAGCCTGAGCAAGAGCGAAACCCCGTCTCTACTATAAATAGAAAGAAATTAATTGGCCAACTAATAATACAGAGAAAAAATCGGCCGGGCACGGTGGCTCACGCCTGTAACCCTAACACTCTGGGAGGCCGAGGCAGGAGGATCGTTTGAGCTCAGGAGTTCCAGACCAGCCTGAGGGCAAGAGCGAGACCCCCATCTCTACAGAAAATAGAAGAATTAACCAGGTTTAGTGACGAGTGCCTGTAATCCCAGCTACTAGGGAGGGTGAGCCAAGAGGATCACTTGAGGCCAGGAGTTTGAGCTACATAGTGAGACCCCCCATCTCTACAAAAAGTAGAAATATTAGCTGGGCGAGGTGGCTCATGCCTGTAGTCCCAGCTCCTGGGGAGGCTGAGGCAGGACGATCCCTTGAGCCCAAGAGTTTGAGGTTGCTGTGAGCTAGGCTGATGCCACAGCACTCTAGCCTGGGCAACAGAGTGAGACTCTGTCTCAAAAAAATTAATAAATAAATAAATAAAATAAAATAAAAAGACAAAAAGTAGAAAAATTAGCTGGGTGAGATGGTGTACACCTGTATTCCCAGCTACTCGGGAGGCTGAGGTGGGAGGATTGCTTGAGCCCAGGAGTTTAAGGTCGCAGTGAGCTGTGATGAGGCCACTACCCACTAGCCTGGGTGATAGAATAAGATCCTACCTCAAAAAAAATATATTACTAAATCTCCATCCTGGAGTTATTTTGGTTTTCTGTGTGACAAACAGGCAGCACCCACAAAACTCCTCTGCCGAATACTAAATACAACAACTGTCTCAAAGAACTCAAGTGACTGAGATGCCAGCTTAACTTGTCACTTTAATGACCCAACACCATCCTCAGTGGAAGCCATGGCTCTTTGGTCTGGGGTATTTTTTTTTTTTTTTTTGAGACAGAGTCTCGCTTGTTGCCCAGGCTAGAGTGAGTGCGTGGGCGTCAGCCTAGCTCACAGCAACCTCAAATTCCTGGGCTCAAGCAATCCTTGGCTTCAGCCTCCCGAATAGCTGGGTACAGGCATGCGCCACCATGCCCGGCTAATTTCTATAATATATCAGTTGGCAATTAATTTCTTTCTATTTATAGTAGAGACGGTCTCGCTCTTGCTCAGGCTGGTTTTCGAACTCCTGACCTCGAGCAATCCGCCCGCCTCAGCCTCCCAGAGTGCTAGGATTACAGGCGTGAGCCACCGCGCCCGGCTTGGTCTAGGGTATTTGGTAGGCTTTTTCTTTCTTTTTTTTTTTTAATTAATTAATTAATTAATTTATTTTTTGAGACAGAGTCTCACTTTTGTTGCCCAGGCTAGAGTGAGTGCCGTGGCGTCAGCCTAGCTCACAGCAACCTCAAACTCCTGGGCTCAAGCGATCCTCCTGCCTCAGCCTCCCGAGTAGTTGGGACTACAGGCACGCACCACCATGCCCCAGCTAATTTTTTGTATATATACTTTTAGTTGGTCAATTAATTTCTTTCTATTTTTAGTAGAGCTGGGGTCTCGCTCAGGCTGGTTTCGAACTCCTGACCTCGAGCAATCCGCCCGCTTCGGCCTCCCAGAGTGCTAGGATTACAGGCGTGAGCCACCGTGCCCAGCCGGCGTTTTCTTTAAAGATGAAGAAAGTGGCCAGGCGTGGTGGCTCACGCCTGTAATCCTGGCACTCTGGGAAGCTGAGGCGGGCGGATTGCTCGAGGTCAGGAGTTCCAAACCAGCCTGAGCAAGAGCCAGACCCCGTCTCTACTATAAATAGAAAGAAATTAATTGGCCAACTAATATATATATAGAAAAAATTAGCCAGGCATGGTGGTGCATGCCTGTAGTCCCAGCCACTTGAGAGGCTGAGGCAGAAGAATTGCTTGAACCCAGGAGGTTGAGGTTGCTGTGAGCTAGGCTGACGCCATGGCACTCACTCTAGCCTGAGCAACAAAGTGAGACTCTGTCTCAAAAAAAAAAAAAAAAAAAAAAAAAGATGAACAAAGTGAGCCTGTCACTTCAAGAACAGCAATGACTGCATTTGTTGCTGATAATAAGGTTGAGATTTTG